TTTAAAATTCTGAATAGAGTTGGTGTGTCACCTGAAGTTAGTTTGTAGTGAACCACTCAATTTTCATGACCAGAGGAAATCCACCAAAATACAATAGATGCTCTTTCTTCAATTATTTTAACAGCATGCGGGGAAAAGATGGTGGCTCAAGAAGTCAGCCAGAAGATTGTTGGAGGAAATAACGCCGGCGAAGGAGCCTGGCCGTGGCTCACTGCTCTCGCGTATAACGGCAAACTGCTCTGTGGTGCTTCTCTCATCAGCAACGACTGGCTGGTGTCTGCCGCCCACTGCGTGTATGGGTGAGTGTGGCATTAGAGTGTCTCTTGTCAAGTGGGATGACCACAGCAGACACTGTGCATCACATCTCATGTAGCCTCACAAATCCATCTCATCAGGGAACTCTTCCCGCTGTTTATGACATTATAAACTTTCCAATCATTCTCCCATTACAATCATGTATAAAAGAAAGTTCGGTAAAAAAAAATCATTCTTTGTTATATATTTGCATCAAGTATTATGTTTCCTACATCCATAATAATTGAAAAGTAAGAATTTTAAAGGTATAAAATCAGTATGTAGTGTATAAATTGTACTGTTATCATTCAATTAGACCAATATTTATTGTCAGCAAATTGTTAGCATCAAAAAAGCTCTCTAGTTACAAATAACTTTGTGCTCTAAAAATTCCTGTGTGAGGGACTAATTATGAATTAGTATAAAAATGTTTACTTTGTTCTCAAGTCTGATCTATTTTGAAGCTGCCCTTAACTAAAAGTTAGAACTAATGTCAACCATATCTAACTATTTTTTCCTTTGTAACATGACAAAATACATGTTGAATTCTAGAATTTATTCTCTTTCTAGAAGCAGTCATTCCTAAAGCAATGCCACAGGAGAAAAGAGGGTGGGTAGATAGAGTAGAGAGGGTAGAGAGAACAGGAGGAGAAAATAAATATTCCTGAGCCCAATAACTTGTTAATTCTCATCTGCATAAAAGAAGTTAATCCCATTCTAACATTTGTGAATTAGGTCAGACAAAAATCTGGCTGCCTCATAGAAAACTCATAAAACCTGCCCTTGGGCGATTTCCTGACCCTTTTCCTAGGTAGAAGAAAACTCCAGAAAATGCCCTTCCCTGTGACAGTTACAATGAGCCTCTCCTAAAGGCATCTAGAATCTCTGAGGAAAACACATATGTGCTCAGAATGGAAGCTGCAGCTGTAGTTAATTAAATTAAAAGACTGAACTCCCGACGAACACAAACATTGGAAGATCTCAGATACAAACTGTCACACAGAAGGTTTTGAAAGTTGTTTGGGAGATAGGGAGGACCAGGGTGAATGAGTATTAAAGGATTAACTCGCCTGAATACCCATCATATAGAGGGAGGGTAAATTCAAATTCATAATCCTAAGAGCTTTAATATGAGAACCTTCAGCCAGACCCCAGGTTGGCCAATTACTTGAACCTCTAGGGAAGTGTCCGTGGTACTGATCATGTACATCTAAACCTCTGTGATTCTATGCGCTGAACTTTATAGCAGTGACTAAACTACAGCCTCTCCCATATCTAAAGCACATCTTCTTGAGTTTGCTGCCTTCTGATAAATTATGTTTTTATCTGTCTTCAACCAGAGCATAGCAAGCATATATAGTGGTCAATTTTCCCATCCCCTGCTAAACATGACTTTAACTTTTACCTATACATACTATATGCCTTGGGCATGTCACAGGTGTGCAATCTATAGCCTAATTGTGTTACAAGTGAAAGGTATCTTTAGCTAAAGATTCAGTGTTTTCTGTTGCACAGGGGTAGATCTTAGTAAGTTAGCAATCTCTGGTATTAACCTAGGATATGGTAAATTTGTCTGTTTGATGTTCTTGCAGAACATACTCTTTCTTAATGTCGACCAGGCTTGCAATTTTAACTTTTACCTATACATACTATATGCCTTGAGCATGTCACAGATGTGCAGATGTGCAATCTATAGCCTAATTGTGTTAGAAGTGAAAGGTATCTTTAGTTAAAGATTCAGTGTTTTCTGTTGCATGGGGGTAGATCTTAGTAAGTTAGCAATCTCCAGTATTAACCTAGGATTTGGTAAATTCGTCTGTTTGATGTTCTTGCAGAACATACGCTTTCTTAATGTCAACCAGACTTGCAATTTTAGCAACATCTTTCAATTATCGACCTTACAGATGCACCTATTGCAGGTCAGAGATACCAATGTTTATCTTTTTCAAACCACGAATATACAAAAAGCAGTTTCATCTAATATAAACACATGCTCAGTCATATAGGACATAAAATGTCTTTTCACACAGTTTCAATTTGAACACAAGCAAACAAATTTTTACTTCATGCCTCTAACCAAGCAAGGAACTTTCTGCTTATGATTTTAGATATTTGGGAAAATATATTTAAGTATGCCTATTTGCCTTTTAAAAATTCTAACTATGCAGTGAAATGCTCAATTTTTTAATATGTGAATGGAAGAACCCAAATCAAGCAACTTACTAAAAACATACTACACAAATGACTTGTCCTCAGTGTAAATCTGTTCCAAGTGTTTTAACCTGCAGGAAGGCAAATGGTTTCAATGGACAGCTCTTCTCTGTCTACATTCTTATGGTCCACACTCCAATTCCCATTCAGCCTCAGTGTTCCTGGATGGCCCTAAATATCCTTGCATCCATTATTTCTCTATCATTGACTTGTTTTGTTTTTCAACCTTAAAAAACTATGGTCCAATTTTTCTGTGGTTTAAAGGCAAGGTTGGCTTTGAACTGGAAGAAAAGATTTTGATCCTACCTATGCTACTAATCTCATACAATTTAGTATCTCTTTGTTCCAATATCCTCATCCATAGGGTGTTTATAGGATATCTACCTTCTAAGGTGATTGTCAGGAAAAATTAAAATGCTGCAATACTTTTGCATACTGTAAATATAAATGTCCTGCTGTCCTGAAAGGTCCATGAAAAAGGAGTCCAAATCTTGCCCCAGAGACACTAGCTATTTACTTTACAAATGTTTTATATTGATTTTCAAAACATGCACAAAATTGCAAATATTAGTATATAGAGCTCTTCTATAACTTCACCCAGATTTATTAATTGTTTAAATTTTATGTTCTAAAATCTTTCTCATTCTTTCTGTCCAACCTGGAGAAATTCTTTCTCAACCATTTGATAGCGGGTTAGACATTGTGCTCCTTTAGTGTTAAATATGTCCACGTGTTTTTACTAAAAACAAAGATATTTTTTTATATACTCACAGATCATGGGAATTTAACATCAACAAAAAAACAATGTTCCAAACTATAGTATGAATTCATTTTTGTCAATTGTTCCACATATGCCCTTTAGGACATTTTTTTGTTTTGTTTTTTTGTGTGTGTGATTTTGCCAACCAAGAACCAATCCAGGGTAAAGCACAGAGTTAGTTTCTATGCCTCTTTGGTCTTCTTTAATCTGAAATAACCTTTCTATCTTCTCTCTTTTTTAGCCCTTATAGCTTTCTTGTCTGTGATTATATATTTTTTACAGTAAGCAAGTTATTTTGTAGAAATGATTTCTACAAATTTTGTCTTCAGAAATAATCATATAGAAATTTAGAGAAATATAGGTACTTTATTTGATACAGATTTAAATCAATAATAAAATAATGCAGCTCAGAAAAAAAGTACCTAACCTCCCAAACTCTTATCTTTTGTAAGTACTATATGCCATGTGATAGCTATACATATAAATGTAAATGATATGGGAGAGTTTGTAGCTAACACAGAGTTTAGCAGTCACCATATCCTCTCAATATTTTAGGCTTTGAGTAGAAAACCAATGCATGAACCATAAACTGTGAAGATCAAACCTACATGCTTCAAGCTTCTGGTTTAATTAAATATAATCTACAGCAACAATAATTTGACACATTCTTAATGATTTCCAAAATTGTTGTTGTGTTACATAGAAAATAGCCTGTTTTCCGTGTTTTTATTTCTCCCGCATGAATAAGTAGCACTATGGGAAGAAAATATCTCTCCAACGTGTATCATTTATATTTCTCTCACAAGTCATTCCACTAATCTGTGTCTATGTAATTACCTTACCCCACCCCCAACAAGTACAACACCACATTAAACTAGACATTTGCAACTATTCAGAATTAAATGACTAGTTCTGCAATCATTGCAGTTACTGAATTTTTACTTCATTCTGAATATGGTTTAATTCCAGCTACTCCCTGGTAATTTCTTGGAGTGAAAATGTTGCAGGGCAATAGTACAGTTAAAAGTCCTTGCACACTTTCACTTAAAATATACTATTCAACTCAATCTGTCCTATGACACAAATGTTATTTGTTACCAATACGTTATTGATGGCCAACATTGTGTATGGAACATGATTCACGTTCACTGTAGGTGGAAATTACTCGTTTATGTTAGTTTATAAGTTTTACTTGTGAATTCAATGACACCCCAAATGGAAGAATGTTCTCAAACCTCCTTCCATCACTACAATAGCTGCTGTGGTTGTCTGAAGAAACCCTGGACCAAGGTGCCATTTCCCCAGTGGAATGTGTTCTAAGCAGTCATATCTGATCATACATTAGCATAAACTTGGAGATTTCATTTCAAAATTCATTTAAAATTAAAGTACCAGATGCAGACTCATTAAATCAAAGGTAGAGAAGTAGGGGAGAGCAGATATCAATGTTATTCTAGATGATTCTAATGTGAAACCAAAGTTGAGAGCCACAGTCTAGAACTTTAGAAGAAGTGATAGAGATTAGCAGTAATTAAGGCTTGTTCTGTGATTTGGTAAAAAAATAAAAATAAAAAATAAAGGAATATTTGTTTAAGGAAGAATTCTTTGGAGGAAATCAAGAACATTTTAGGATGGGAGCACATAGTTTTGAAATATCTTTAATGAAGATCTCTAGAAAGATTGGGAGTTTCTTATACCTCTTTATTATAATCTTCAGAAGAAATTTGGAGCCATCCAAGTGGAAAGCAATCCTAGGCCTTCATGCGACATCGAATCTGACTTCTCCTCAAGTAGTGACCCGGTTGATAGATCAAATTGTCATAAACCCACATTACAATAAACGGAGCAAGGACAGTGACATCGTCATGATGCACCTTGAATTTAAAGTGAATTACACAGGTAAAACAAATCACTTTTAGTCATCTCATCTGCCCAAATTAATTCAAAATTAGATTTGAAATATTTTTTGTCAGCACCAATGCATTAATAGTCCATAAAAAATGAATAATCTGTTATAAAAATTATTATAATTTAAATGGAATTATAGAATGAAAGAGAAACATATTAAGTTACCTTCTGGAGCTATTTAAATCCAACTTTCTAGAGAGTTGGCCACTGGAATAAACTATCAGAGCCCTCTATAAATTCAAAGCAGCAGTCCAGAAAAAAAGTAGGCCATGTTCCAATACATGTTTTCTCTCTTTCTCATGTAAAAGAAAGGCGGTCCATCGGCCACAAAAGCCAGAGTAGGACAAACTGGGAGAAGAGTGCATGTTCTAAAAGTAAAGTGAAATGTATTTTTATTGATTTCAGAGAGGAAGGGAGAGGGAGAGAAAGATAGAAACATCAACGATGAAAGAGAATCATTGATTGGCTGCCTCCTGCACACCCCACACTGGGTATCGAGCCGGCAACCTGGGCATGTGCCCTGACTGGGAATTGAACCCAGACCTTCCGGTTCATAGGTTGATGCTCGACCACTGAGAAATGCCGGCCAGGCCATAGGATAAAAATTTTAAAGGAGATTCAATATTAATGAAGTGACAGATGGAGGACTTTCTCTGACTACCTAGGTAATGTACAAGAAGTCACCTGTGGCGTGAACTTTATCTTAAAGGGCTCTACTCAACACCAACCTTTACTCTGAAGACCTTTCCCATCCCAATTAGGGGTGGCGGGGGGATGCTGCTATCTCCTTGCTCTTATGGAATTTGGCCTCCACATGTATTGCAGCACTTATCAAAGCAGGTGGTGACTGTGGTTAGTTCTACAGCCCTGTCTTTGAGAGTAAGCACGGTATCTTACTCATTTGTGTCCGCCCTGGGCCTTCCATGCAGCGGGAGCTTTAATAAATGTCAGGTGGCTTGTAAATTGTTGGAGAATGGCTTTAAAAGCCAGTGACAAATGCTAATGCTTCCATAAGTGCCCAGTAAAACAATTGCCTAAAAGCTTTTTTAATGTGAGATATGTGGGGAAAACTAAAAAAAATAAATAAATAAACTCAGAACATATGCCCAAATTTCTCTTAATTGACCCTGAAAAACAGCCTTGCCAAGATTTTCACAGAACTGGCACTACTTCCTATTAAGTACCATAATTATTTAAAAATCAAATACAATAAAAGCCAGTGACAAATGCTATTCCTTCCTTAAGTGCCAAGTAAAACAATTGCCTAAAAGTTTTTTAATGTGAGATATGTGGGGAAAACTAAAAAAAATAAATAAACTCAGAACATATGCCCAAATTTCTCTTAATTGACCCTGAAAAACAGCCTTGCCAAGATTTTCACAGAACTGGCACTACTTCCTATTAAGTACCATAATTATTTAAAAATCAAATACAAATGATTAATTCCAGAAGTACAACATTGTTTACACCATGAAAGAGTAATTAGGAGGCAATGTAGAACATCCTAAAAGGCTACCAGTGGTACCTATCTATTGTCCAAAAATTACTGCTCCAAAATGCTTCTTTCCCCAAAGATTGATGTCTAAAAAATGTCCAGGCTATCTAAAACAAAAGTACCAATTGTTTTAGATGAAATGTTTATAATGTTTGATTTTTAAAACATTGTTGGAAATGCATGTGCATCTATTCTAGCTCTTGTTTTGCTTTGTTTTGTTTTCAGATTATATACAACCTATTTGCTTACCAGAAGAAAATCAAGTTTTCCTTCCAGGAAGAATTTGTTCTATTGCTGGCTGGGGGAGGATTGTTCATGATGGTAAAGTATCAGACCCATAAAAAAAGCAAATGGGTCTTTTTTCCTAGAAAAAAGTATGTTCTTGCACCATCCTGTGACTATTTTCAACATTTTGTGCAACTCTTTTGCTATAACAGTTTTATGTGATATCCTTTAAAAGCAATGTCAAGCTTATACTCATATACTGAATATTTGTGTAGTTATGAATTTTTTCCAAATCGTATAGAGCATATTATAAAACTAGAATCCTTATAGGAGGAGAATTCAAGCATTCCCCAAACTCAATCTCTACTTTTTATATTATAAACACTGATAAAGAGAAAAGATACATCTATTTAAATGAATATAACCAAAAGTTTCAAAAATATATTTTTGTAAAGTTCATGGACGAAGTCTCATCAAAAGCCAAATTATTAACTGTCACATTTCCCAAATCAATAAAACTATCTTATCATCTAAAGGTCTCACAGTCACATTTTCTAAAATGAGAAAGAAATCCCTTCTAGCTTCAAAAGCCGGTTCTGCCTACTGGCCAGAAAACTCAGATACAGTGCACATCTTACACTGAATACTATAAATTGTTACACCATTGACTCACTAGCATTATTGAGTAGCATGTTTTCCAAACACAGAAACGGTGCATATTAATAATAATCAAACATGATTTTTTTAAAAAAAACACACATTCCAGTACTTCATGTTCTCTAAATGTAACTGCAAGTTTATTGGCATCTGAATTTCTCACAAGAGTACCTCCATCAAGGATGAGTTTTGATGGCTCGTTAATAGTTAAACAAAAAGGAAAGCACTAAGGTCTAAAGGGAGAACCTGGCCCCTGGAGTCACAACGGATCAGAAATCATAGTCACGATATTTACATTATTATTGTATTCAAATGTATTTAAAATCTTGTGGAGAGGAGGTCGGTTCCAGAAGCGAAGCATTCACGGCCAAAATATGCTTATTTCTTGTAAAACAAAGCATAAAGTTTAAGTCAGACCCCTGCCTAATAATTCCGATAAAGGTTCTCCACTACAATTTCATTATGTTGCTGGAAATGCCTCATGTCTACTGTCCATAAAACGTATTGAAGTCCAAGACGGTATATTCTTTTATTTCCACCACTTGAGAAATGTCATGATTTATTGAATTTGAAATCTAAAGAGCAAAAATGATTTCTAGATAGATATTTTCTCTATCCAACTTAAAATTAGAAGACGTTTTTATGACCACGATGTAGACTCTCCAAAACAAATTATCCAATAATGAATAAATTTAAGACTCTTTATTCCATAGGAAATGGGTTGCATGTTTGTTTTTTTTCAGAGCTGATACACATTGTTACTGAAGATATGCATTTAATTGACTTAAAAAGGTCTCTCACAGTGGTATGGAGCCAAGAAAAAATCTGTATCTGAGGTCAATTTCATTTAGAAATAAATAGATCATATTTAAATAATTCCTTGGTGATGGAAATGGGAGTGAATTTTTATAGCTCTGTCTTATGGTTTCCAGCTACTTCATTTTATAAAATCTCCCCCTTTTGAGTATTTGACATACAGTAATTTTGCTAGAAAAACCATGAACATATTGTTTACCAAGAAGAAATGAAGTTATATTTGTTGATTGAATTAAAGCAATTAGTAAACTTGAAATAAATTTACTTTTATTTGTGTGAGTATATACATATGCTCAATTATTCTCATGACAACTCATATTGATAAATACATATCAAATATAAGAACACTGCTCAAATTTTCCTTTACTAAAGAGTTTTATCATATACCCAACCAATTTTTATTCTTTGACAAGCAACAAAATGGGCTTTGATTTTTATTATAAAATAAAATTGATCTATATAGAATGGATGGCAGTGAGATGCTGAATTTTCTTCTGCATCTTAACCTCTCCAATTCACATTCTTAATGTAAAGCTCTGGGTTAAACTTGAGAAATCATCCAGGGATGTGCTGCTGGAGTCACTGCACCAGCTGGAAATAGCCATTTGTGCATATCTTCTCCCAACTTCATGTTTACTGTCACGCTGGTACCTTGATTTGGCCATGGTTGTGGTGTTTATACCAGGCAGATGGGCAGGCAATATCCATTGGGGCTTTTTCCCCCTTGAAAACCAGTTATTAAACATTTACCAACACACCACTGAGTTATACCTATGTTGCTTTGCACCTAAATTACACACACACACACACACACACACACACACACATTTCCTGTCTTTTTAGCTGGAAATGAGGTCTCATACATTTTGCAACAACACTGGCTGTCAACTTTTTGCCTCTCTTGAGGAGCCAAACAGAATTGCTAATTATTAGAAAGTGTTTATCATGGAGCTTTTCTGGGCCACTAGATACCTGCTTCATTTCCCTCCTGGGATTAGCATTTCAGTAAACGGAGGTTCATATTGCCAGTAGATGAGTCATTTTGTAAAAGCCATGGAATTACACTCCATCAGAAAACACCTCCTTTGTCTTCACATGCACGTGGTGACAAGCTGAATGCCCTCAGATCGGGGCACAGTGCATCTGAGCTTTATCTCCTGTTCAGGGTGCACCTGCTCAGTCACACAGCAGCACAAGGAGCTGAATGCCATTATACGGGAGCACTTCCTCAGGTGCCCAATCAAAAGCTCCTCTGGGTTTCGGAGCCATTGCTAATTTCCATGAATGAAACTCTTTGTGTTGGTGGGTCCCTCCCCCGCCACCACTGAGCAACACTATAACTGTTTAAAATTACCGATCATGCCTAAGGACTGTCCACTTCTCCTGCTAGCCCTTGGGAGCCGAAGAAGTGCTTTACATCCATTTGGCAAAACCCACAGATGGGCTTCATTATGTGCTTTGAAGTACAAGGTTAAGCATTCAGTTCCATTATATACACACAGTGCTAGATAAAGAGAGTGAACTGTTGAAATAAATAAGACTGATGGGGGCTCATTCACTGATGCCTGTTGATCACTTCTGACTGGCTGCCTGCATTCTCCATCTTAAACAGGTCCTTCTGCAGACATATTGAAAGAAGCTGAGGTTCCTCTCATATCAAATGAGAAATGCCAACAACAGATGCCAGAATACAGCATCACGGAAAACATGGTGTGCGCAGGCTACGAAGAAGGGGGGATAGATTCTTGTCAGGTAAACATATCAAACAGCTCACCGTACATTTTCAGAAAGCATTGCTATACAATGATTATGTTGTTTAATAATGATTCAGAAGTCAAGAAATCATCAGGGTCTTAACTTCATTTATTTTTTCTACAAAACTGTGACTTTTGGCTTTTATTTGAGGGTTATTTACATAGTTCTCCTGGGTGGACTTGAACATTAGAAACAAAACTATTATTTACCAACAAGGTTTATAAAGCAAACTAGAGGCCCGGTGCACAAATTCATGCACAGGTGGGGTCCCTCAGCCTGACTGGCAATTGAGGCCTATCAGGGAGCTGGCCTGCCAGGGAGAGGGGCTGTGAGAGTTTGGCTGGCCAATAGGGGGGCGGGGGCACAGGAAGTTGGCTGTGGGAGCGCACTGACCACCAGGAGACAACGCTTGTGTTGAGCGTGTCCCCTGGAGGTCAGTGTGTGTCATAGTGACTGGTCATTCCAGTTGTTCAGTCATAATGGTTGTTTAGGCTTTTATATATATACTAGAGGCCTGTTGCATGAAAAGATTCATGCAATAGGCCTTCCCTTTGCCTGGCTGCCGGCACCGGTTTTCCTCCAGTATCCAGGCCTTCACTCCGGCCAGAGCAGCCTTCAAGCCTTCACTGCTCCAGCTGGAGCTGCCTTCGGTCTTCACTCCACTGCTTCGAGCCTACGTATGCATATTAACCGCCATCTTTGTTGGCGGTTAATTTGCATATCTTGCTGATTGGCCAATGGGAGGCATAGCGAAGGTACAGTCAATTACCATGTTTGTCCATTATTAGATAGGACTAGAAGCCCATTGCATGAAGATTCACGCAATAGGCCTTCCTTCCCCTGGCTGCCAACACCGGCTTTCCTCTGGCACCTGGGACCCAGGCTTTCCTCGCAGTCCCGGCTTCGTCCAGAAGGTCATCCAGAAGGATGTCCAGTCTAATTAACATATTATGCTTTTATTATTATAGACTAGAGGCCCGATGAACTCAGATATATTAACAGTTCTATTATGAGACTTTGTAAGTAAATTTCCTGGCATGTTTTCTGTACTTGAAAATTAATAAAATATTAATGCATTAACATCTACTGGATTAGATTACACCTGATAGCAGTACCGAGCAAGCAAATAACTCACAAATGCAGAAGTAGCAATTTATACTGTGGGAAAATGGTTTCACTTGTTCAAGTGTGAACAATATGTTATATATATTAACACATAAATGTCATAATAATTTGATTTGATACCAAACTTTTTAACAGACACTTAAGCAGATGAATCCATATGTGTATCCTTCAGTTAAATCAATGTCTCAACTCATGTAAACTAAACTTTCAGCTTAGTTCTACATTTATTCTGCTTTGCTGAACATTGGCAAATTCAAGACAAATGGGTTAGCTTCATTTATATTAAAATTTACCTCTGGATCTTATGCTTTCCTTTTAAATGAAAAGTATGTTAAAGGTAAGATATATTGCCACTTAGAGGAAAACTTATAGAATTATTGTTCAGGAGGGAAATCAGCTGTACAACTTCAATTTCCGTTAATGGGGGTTATGTGGCAGACACCTCATGCACGAGAAAGTATGACTGCCGATGCTATTGATGTTAGAGTTACATTAAGCTAGTAATGGATGCCAGATCTCTGAAATCTTCTATTTGGCTCTGATTTCTAGAGTCTAAGCATGTTATTCATTAGCAAGTAAGAAAGCTCCCAAACAAGGCAGGACTTTCCATAATATAATGTTATCATGATTGAGTACTCAGTAGTCTAGAGAGTCATGTGATTTTCTCTGTTTAACTTAATACTATGTTATGCCAAGGGGATTGACTGATTAAATAGGAATACATTATTTAAAATTATGAACATGTTATGATTGACTCATCACTTGACTAAGTTCTTTGAAGCATTCTTTTTCCCCTATAGAGTCAAAGATTTTGCCTTATTAGCCATCCACATGTCCTCGAATATCTTTCGGCTCACCAAAGGCTTGCATTGTGAGGCGCTTGTCTGGATTTTAAGGCACCACGAATGGCTGTGGAATGCCATCTCTACATAAACCTAAGTGAATGACACTGAGCAAACTGGCTTTGCTCCCCATTCTGAGCCTTGTTCTAGAGCAGGGGGTTGCTAAGTGTGGCCTCCAATCCAACAGAGCAGCATTACCTGAGAAGGTGTGATCAATGCTAATTCTCAGGCCCCACCACAGACCTGCTTCATAAAAAACTCTACAGGTGTGTTTTTCCCAGGTTATCAGATGATTCCGATGTGCAATAAAGTTAAAGAACAACTACTCTAAGTAAAAATGGCCATCCACCTTTGCATTCAGATACTGAAGGAAGGTGGTGATTTTTTCTTTTCTTTGCAAATATAGCATTTAAGCGGAAACATAAATGTTAGGCTAATAACTTATGTTCTGGACATTCACTCGTATTTTTGAAGTGCTTATACATCTCTGAGATCGTGGGGGAAGGAACTATCTTCATTGAACACATCAGAAAATTAAGACCAGGAGAATTTGCCAGTATATAACCAAACTGAAATGAGTTATTAGAAGGTGGGAAGGGACAGAATTACATATCAGTCTCTCAACCAGACAGATCATACAGCAGTTGGGCACCAAGCTTGCTGATGGATCCTTCGGGTAACTGCAGCTGACCCAGTATGACTTGGAAAACTTAAAATCCCTGTTTATGTAATCAGTATCTGGTTTCTGCTGTCTATTTACAAAATTAAATTATTTTAGAAAACATGAAGAAAACCCAATGACTTGTTTTAAAAATATCAAAACAGTTGAGGTTTAGTTTTAATAATTTCTAGTCATATATTGAGTCTATATTTACTCCTACCTTGGACTGATAGTGTTCCATAAATATTTCTGAATTCTTATTATGGACTTAATATGCTTAAAGGCTTAAGATGCAAAAATGAAAACTATAGCCCCTGTTTTCAAACAGTTTGCCAACATTTGCTATACCTACAATAGAGGTAACTTATGTTTGCCAATGCATTTATGCTCCTCTGCGCCCAAAAGAGAAAGGGTGCTTTTACAGAACACATTTTTTCCCTTAAATATAAGGCCCAAAGATAGTGACATCAAGCCTGGATTGAAATAATCTATTGTATCAGTGATTGCAAACAAAATACACAAAGCTTTAAATTCCTACTTAAATATATAAAAATGCAGATTGATTTAAACTCTTTTACACAATTAACATGAAAAAATACTTTTCAATTTTGTCATTAATGCTACTATATCTTACATATGTTCATTTGCATTACATATCCTATATAATAAAGAGGTAATATGCAAATTGACCATCACATCCTCACACAAGATGGCCGCTCCCATGTGGTCAAAGATGGCCCCACAAGCTGGCTGGCAGGGGAGGGCAGTTGGGGGGACCAGGCCTGCAGGGGAGGGCATTTGGGAGCAATTGGACCAGCAGGGGAGCAGTTAGGCATCGATCAGGCTGTCAGGGGAGTGGTTAGGGGCAATCAGGCAAGCAGGCGAGCAGTTGGGAGCCAACAGTTCCGGATTGTGAGAGGGATGTCTGACTGCCGGTTTAGGCCCAATCCTTGTGGAACAGTCGGACATCCCCTGAGGGGTCTCAGATTGAAGAGGGTGCAGGCTGGGCTGAGGGACACCCCCCACCACCACCACCACCCAGTGCACATATTTCATGCACCAGGTGTCTAGTGTGCAAATAAAATGTATGAGATTAGCTCTACTAGGATCTGTTATAATTAATGCTTATGAAAATTAAAAACATTTCATTGATTGAAATCTAAGATGAAAACATGTGCACCTATCACTAGAAATCACATCATAGATTTGCCTGTTTCCATTAAACATGTGTTTTTTTCCAAATCTGATTGTGTTTGTCTAATGCTGAAAAGTTAATGCTACTCAAGAAAACAAAAATCAACTTTATGTGTGAGTTTTTAGTTATTATAAAGCATATAATGCAGAATAATTCTTTTCCAGAGATCCCTTCATAATACTTAGAACATGACTCCTTTAATTATGCAAATCAATTAAGCAATATAAATTGTATATATTTATATCAATTGACAACACACATTTTTCTTTTGTAATTTATTATTTAGGGGGATTCAGGAGGACCATTAATGTGCCAAGAAAACAACAGATGGTTCCTGGCTGGTGTGACATCATTCGGATACCAGTGTGCGCGGCCTAATCGCCCAGGGGTGTATGCCCGGGGCCCGAGGTTCACAGAATGGATACAAAGTTTTCTCCATTAAAATATTTCCTAAACCAAACACAAAAGTCAGACACTTTTCTCATTCCACTCTAAAAAGTTTGGAAATTTAGAATTTTGTAAAATATAGTTTCTAAAAGTCATTATTCTTATCTATGCCACTAAAATGCTGTGGGGGAGAGAAACAACAAACAAAAAAACTAAATTAATCTTTACAATAATAAGTAACTTTTAAATAATACATTTTGGTTTTTATTGTGAGCAGCTATGCTTTCACAAATATAATTCTCTTTGCTCTTAATCATTATTTTTATCATATTCTCCTATTTAAAGAAAACTTAGGAAAAGAAGTGAAATAGACTGTTTTGCACAAGGTCTGTTACTGTTCGAAATAAACTGCTGGAAATTACCTACTTTCAGCTTAAACTGCTATTATCAAAAACTCAATAGTCTTCCTGCGTTTCTATCCAAACACATTTCTAATTCATCTTGAGCATATTTTTAATGGTTCCCCTACTCATAAAAAGTATGTATTCTAAGCTCATGTCAGAGACCTGGACTAAGTTGATTGCATGTCCCTCTCAAATACGCTAAGTAAACAGCAAACAAGCACAAGTCTATATATTTCCCTACTATCAAAATAAAAGGTAAATTTACTGCTATTGTAGTTTTTTATTGGATCCTTTATTACCTGAATTATTCATACTATCTATTTCTACAAGCTGGTATTTTTTTAAAACTTTCAAAAATAAGTATACATATTTAAGAAATGCAACTAGTAAAAATTTATTTTTCCCGATTTATGTGTGTTACAGTGGATGTTTCTAACATGTGCAGCATTTATTTAAACACAGCTGAATTGCCCATTAGAAGACCAAAAATGTGGAATAAATGAATTTGTTTCACGGCTTTAATTTCTTGGATCATTTCCAGAGTAAGAGCAAACTTCAATTTCGCATGCCACACAAAATATATTGACTCCTTTGGGAAGACAAAATTCCTACCTACTTAATTCAAACACATTCTTGCATGGGTCTATATATCCAAAGGAATAGATAGCAACTGAAAGATGGGATCAATCAGTACAGGCTGGTCTATGGAAGAAATGAAATTTGGGCTACACCTAAAAGGAATGATCATTATTGAAGTCCTGAAGAGGTACTGGCGACCACTGGTGAGCAATTATAAAATTTATTCTGAGGACAGAAATCCAGAGTCCCTGAAGACACTATTCAAGACCTTTCCAATGACCTGTTCCTGATAGTTAGGAAGGATAGAACAGCAGGGGTAGGGTGTACTCTTTGATTTACTACCTGGATATTATTCCAGAATTCACCTGCATTTCAAAACACACATTAAGAATTATGCTCTGAAAAAAACATCCACACCATGTAGCCCTTTAATACTTTTCAAAGGTCAGCTGCAATGTTAACAAACCCTTAGGACAGTCTCTTGACCATCTTCTAATAAGTGTGAAGTTCATTGTCCCACTCCCGGTAACTTATGGGTTTAGTAATTAATGCCAGAAGAGTTATCCAGGCCTTGATCAAGATGAAAGGCACAACAAGGCCCTGCCCCACAGCTCTGCCTCTCTTGCGCGCAGCTGTTGTAGTCATGGGAGGCAGAGAGAGTGAAGAAAGTCTAGTCTCCTCCCATCGAGTCTTCACGAAAGGAAGACAGGCACGGTGGGAGCTTGGTGAGATGAGGTAGATCCCAGCAGCTGATCTTCATTCTGCCCAGAAATATGGGTGGCCAAGAAAAGAAAGGGGAGTGCTCAACCTGGCTGATCTAAGCCTAGGATGCAGCTGCCCATTCCCTCAGTCTCTAGGCAGCTGAAGAGGGGCCAATGCCCACTAATTTCTATTTTGCCTTTTAGTTTTGTCAACCGACTCTAGTTGTGAACTGCCTTCGTGAGATCTCTTGATTAATGGAAAAGGACAGTCTGGAAAAAGCTGAAATTTAAAACGCTCTACAACCACCACTTTCATTCTCACTGCCCTTACACAGTAACTTGTTCTCATCTTCATGTGCTGATGCAAACATAGGTGTATTTTGTCCACTTGAGAGATTTAGACAACACGAACGCTCATTCTTCAGAAACAAGAACTTTTTATTTGGTTCAAAGGAGCACAGGGACATGTGAAGACCAGCTAGTTACAACTCTCTCTTAAGAAGAAGAAGCCACAAGCATTGAAGAAACCAGGGGATAAGACAGAAGAGCCCCAATTTACTCTCCCAGCCAAAGCCTTAACAATGAACAGTGACTATCCATGCCCTCCAGTCGTTTTTTCACACTAACTCATAACTTTCTTTCCTCACTGAAATGTTAGTGTACTGTGCTTACCTTCACACCAATGTGACCACTCACCTGGTCCCAACTGTCAAACCCCTTCATTTGCTGATAGAGGCAAATCAGAGCTAGAAGAAAACCTTAGACAAACGATGCAGCTATCTGCCTCCAGTTTTATTCCCAAACCCCAAACAACCCTTTATTTTGTGGTCAAGGGAGGGACCAAATTGATTCCAGAGCCCTCAGCGAGCTACTTGTGGTTATATAGGCAACATGTGAAGACATATGATTTATAATGTATATACCACTATTTTCGTTCTAGATTGAGTATATCATTTATACAGTTATTAACAAAGTTATTACAAAATCTGCTGAATTTTAAACGAAAAATAATTGTAAGGCACATGTCTTGCACAATTGAACTTAGACAATTCTTGCCTCTAAGTAAAATATTTGTGTGGATTTATACCACAGTTAATGAAATAACTTCTTATTTCTGAAGAGATCTCCTACACATTGTCTGATCCAAAGCAGAGAAACTGAAAGATGAACCATTTCTAGAAAGGAAACTTTTTCCTATGGTAATATATTTATGTTTGTGAATTCAGCTGACCACAGTGATAAATTTCTTTAATTAAAACAGCATGTATTGAAAAATGAAACACCATAAAAATAAATATTAGAACAGTCCATTTTTATCAAACACTTACGTAAAGGTAAAATATATTTGCACACCGTAAATTTCGATACAATTTACATTACAGTAACCAGGTTACAACTTATGAAAGGTAAAAGGAACAAAAATAACCGCTTCTGACACATATACTGCCGATGTGTTGACAGCAAGTTTATCTGCATGGCCCATTCCACTTACTTGAAGTTTGGGTGCATCATTTCGCAAAATAAGCATGTCTCACTCCATTATTAGCACAGCATATTTTGTAAATGAAATAAACATAGACAACTCATTTTAATATTTGCCTCAAGAGGGAGCTTACAGTTCATCTTGCAGATCCTCTGAGATTTCAAGCCATTCCAAGCTAAGGTTCTGATACCATTCCTTACACAAACCTCTGTTTTCTTTTCTGGAGCCGGTCAATAAGTTTTTACACTTCCATGCCACTTTCTTTTCTCGTGCTTTTTGAAATCCACAGTGTGGACTGGTTTGGGCTAGTTTTTGTCCTTCCTTTACTGAAAAACATAAGAAGAAATAAGTTCAATTTAGGAGATTCCTTATAAAACTGGGCATGTCTTGGTCCAAGTGGAAGTATGCATCTCAGAGCCTTATTGTAAAAGTGTCCTTCTAGAGATTGAAAATGGTGGCAGAGTAAGTGGATGCTGCACGGACGTGCTCCCAGGAACAAACTGGTATTACAACTAAAATACAGAAAAACTTCCTGAATAATCAACAGAAAACTCGCAGGAGATAACCCAGACACCTGAGGACCAAAAGTGGAGACCGCATAGAGACTGGTAAGAGAGGAAGAGGCGTGAAAGGGCTGGCCGGGTGCCCACAAACAGCAACTAAAGTCCCAGAGCGTTTTCTCAGCTATGGGGGAGGTGGGGTAGAGGTGGAGGGGAGTAGTGCCACTGAGAACTCTGGGATCTAATCCCCAAGCTGGGCCCTACAGCAGAGAGCACCAAAACTGAGGAGGGTACCCACATATTATCTGGCTGTGAAAAGCAGTGGGACCCTGTCTGCCAGAGAGTAACAGCTGAAAATTCAGGCACCCTCTTAAAGGGCCAACATATGAAATTACCTGTGGGGCCACCCACCTTGTGCTCTGGCAGAAGAAGGGAGAAGTGGACTGGAACTGTGAGAGCAGAAGACAAGATTGGAGATTTGGAAGATAGAGCCCAGAAGGCAGACACCCCAAGTTTCCTGGGCTGAGTTATTCCCTCACACAGCGGAGAATAACTTTCCCACATAAACATTTGCCTTGCTTGTGAGATTAAAAGTAACAATTAGCCTCCAGGCATAAGCAACTGCCCCATCCTGTTGAAAAAAACTCTGCCACACCTAAAGACAATTGCCTGGGGGTGGGGGGTGGGACAATTCAAGTTGGAATACTATTAGTTTGTAGGCAGAGGCGATCTCTGGAGGCTTTGAGTCTTTGCCTCATCTAATTAGTCAGAAGCAGCCTTTAATACCTTCCTGCACTCACGATTGAGAGGTGTAGAGGATCACAAACCCAAACAGAAAGCCAAAATGGGAAGACAAAGAAACAACCCCCAAATGAAAGAACTAGAGAATTCTCCAGAAGAGATAAATGAAGCAGAGATAAGAAATTTATCTGAAACAGAGTTCAGAGTAATGATAAAAATGCTCAACAGCGTGAAAAAATATATAGTAAATATGAAAAAAGAACAGTCTGAGTTAAAGAATGAAATAACACAAATAAAGAACACATTGGTAGGAATACACAGCAGATTAGGGGAAGCTGAGAACTGAATCAGTGAATTAGAAGACAGAGTTGAAAATATCACTCAATCAGAAAACCAGAAAGAAAAAATAATTAAAAGTGTCCTTCTTCTCTCACCAGCCTACTTTTTCATTCTTACAAAAAATCCTAGATTATTACAGTTTGTGAAGATTGCAAACAGTTCATATGAAATTATGAAAAAAAAAATAAAATAAAATAGATGGTTCTCTGTTGGATTCGTCATACTTTAGAATTCAGACACACACATACACACACACAGACACATACACACTCACGTATGTCTGACGCAATGCCAACATTTTCATTGTAAGAAGTTTAATTATTGTTTCAGTTTCTGAAAACAATGTAGATTCAGGTGCTGATAATTTATGGGAATCTGAGTTTCCCTAGATCTGAGATTGATCTTCACTCTCATCAGATGTAGAGTTCTGGCCCACATTTCCAGCCTGTGCCTCGGGCTGTGCTATCTTCAATAAAATGTCCATTTCTTAGGCTCCTTCAAAGAGCCTATTCTTAAGCATACCCATCATCCTATTCCAGACTAGATTGATCTTCACTCTCATCAGATGTAGAGTTCCGGCCCACATTTCCAGCCTGTGCCTCAGGCTGTGCTATCTTCAACTCTCCATAAAATGTCCATTTCTTAGGCTCCTGCAAAGAGCCTGTTCTTAAGCATACCCATCATCCTATTCCAGACTACTGATCAAGCTCTAGATTCCTTTTGATCTAGTTTCCTGAGAATCAGCCCTCACCTGCACAACTAACCACTGCCTGTTTCTGTGTACCGTGCTCTCTACTTCCTTCCTCCCACAGACCCTCCCAACAGCACCCTCTCCACCTCCTACTGGGGATGTGCCCATAGTCAACCTACATGCCCTTGACCAGAATCGAACCTGGGACCTTTCAGTCCGCAGGCTGATTCTCTATCCACTGAGCCAAATCAGTTAGGGCTATTACTGTAGTTTTTGTATAGCATTCATATTGTATTTAAGAGTTACTACTAGTTAAGGAAACAAGAGTTATTATTTTGAACATGACATGGAATGATAGAAACCATCATGTGTACCAGGTTGGTATTTAAATTTTCTGCAAGGCACTCAGATGATAATGGAGTTGAGTCCTTGATGAAGTTTCTCCTTGCTTTCCTGGAAGAAAGGAAAAGGGGAGCATCTAAGAACAAATGAATTAACCACTACAGCTAATTCTGGCACCTAGAGGTACTCTATTTTGGTTTATTTTTTTCACTCTGAGAATTTCAAACAATGAAAACTCCACAGATCTTCAAGATGGGAAAACCTGGAAGACTTCTGAATGAATAGAATCTCTACAGTAACACGCACTATTTGGAAGAAGGCAAACAAACTTTAGAGAAAACTCAGTTATTGGAACTTTAGAAATATTTATCTTAGAAGTGAGAAGATCTACATATTTTTCAAATTATTTTTTTTCAAGCTGACTTGTTATTTACAGCTCTTCCTTAACAGTTTGGTTGGGTTATGGGGGATTTATATCCAATCCTCCCTCTACTTCACTGCTTTCCATAATGATAAATTATCTTTCCACAGTCTTAGGAATTAAGGGAAGAAGCTAGATATGACTACTGTCTTTATTCTGTACAAGATATTGAAAAACAATTTAAGACCAGAAATTGAACTGTGACCTCCTGGTTCATAGATCTATGCTCAACTACTGAGCCATACTGGCCTGGCTATTTATTATTATTATTCAAAATGTCTTACTTAAAAAGCCCGTAAATCATAGGTTGGATCCTTTTTTAAATTTATGTGAATGGTAGAGTTTAAATCTATTTAATGTTTCTCTGGGACTTTTTTACTTAGTGGATTCTTTAGGGTTTATTTCAGGAAAAGAAGAAGAAAAATTAACATCAAAAGAAAAAAATGATGGGCGAATTCTGATCAATTTCTATTAGTAACACTGATATAGATGTCTAGTCCAGCAATTTTTCAACCTTTTTCATTTCATGGCACATACAAACTAATTACTAACAGCCAGTAGCACACCAAAAATTATTTTTTGCCAATCTGACAAAAAAATATTTCAAATTTTTATTCATTCACACCAGACAGCTATTGTTGTGTTGACCATTGTTATTTATTTATTATTATTTTTTACAATCTAAGGGAAAAGAAGTCAGTGCCCCTGACTAAATAGTGTGGTAATGCATATTTTAAAAATTCTTGCAGCACACTGGTTGAAAATTGCTGGTCTAGTCTATTCTAACAAACATTTTCTTATTTAAATCCAACATCTTTTCCTTTTTTCCTTCCATATATATTTATATTTCCTATATTAATTATTTTAATTCAATTGACAAATTGATACACATGGAAAAATTTTATCTCTAACTCAAGGATATGGATAAACAGATATAAAAGAATGCTCCTAAGCCCGGCCAGCATGGCTTAGTGGTTGAACTTTGACCTATGAGCCAGGTGGTCACAGTTCGATTCCTGGTCAGGCCACATGCCCAGGCTGTGGGCTTGATCCCCAGTGTGGGGAATGCAGGAGGCAGCCGATCAATGATTCTCTCTCATTATTGATGTTTCTATCTCCTTTCCTCTCCGAAATAAAATATATATATATTTTTTAAAAGAATGCTCCTAAGAATCTGGCTATTAAAATGTGTCATTTTATTTCAAGCTGCCAACCAAAAAGTGACCTCTTTTTACCAGTGTGCTTTATTTCCTATACTTAAAAGATCCTTTTGAAATAAAATAGGCTATGACTTGAAATTTTGAAAAACTACTACAAAGTACACCTACCCAAAAATCAAGTCTTTCATTCAACTTGAGATCAAGATTGAAAGGTTTAGCATTAATGCTTATACTTAATAAACAAGGGACAGTATAGTTGCATATGTTGCAAGCTTACAAGCATTCAGATCCAGCACATACATTAGCTATGAGCCCCAAGGCAAAGCATGTAACCCACCTAAGCCACCATCTTCTCAACTGAAAAATAGAAACTGAAGGGTACCTACTTCATATGGCTTGTGAGGATGGAATGAGATGATACATGAATCCCATGAAAAGGTATATCTTACCAGATTTTATATACTGCATTGGTACTGACAGATACAAAAATCAGAACTTTCTTAAGGCAAATCAAAAATATAAGTTTAGGCTAATTTAAAACTTTTCAAGGTATCTTTACATATATGAATTATTTACCTTTTATGCAGCATCTGGAAACAGCAGGTTCCAAAAGCAACCAGTATCAATAAGAGCAGTGGTATTGTTGGTATGACAACATAAATGAGATTGGGAATTATGCCTACAAATGTAAAACAGCCAGTGTAAAAAGACAGCTGAAGCAGAATTCTAACACCAAAGTTACATAAAAAGTTTGCCCAGAATTTAAGGTAAAATAAAACTATTATCAATAAATAGATTCTCAACAAGGTTCTTCCCTAAGTACTAAATAGCCAAATGACCTAATATATTCATGTTTGTTAAAACTCAAAAACAAAATCATACTGCATGCTCCTATTCAGTGTCCATATTTCCAAAAGTATTATTAAATCTGCTATTCAGATAGGGCTAGTTTTCATAATGTATTCATGATCTTAGCTATCTCACTTCACTAATCCTTCTTAGTTCTTATTTAGAGATCCAACCACTGATTATTAAAGAATAACAATCATTATTAAAATAACTGTTCATTTATTGGACACATAAATATCTTAACCAATAAGCTCAGTGCCATGATGATATGCAAGACTCCTTGGCATTACACCAAAATGTGTAAATATTAACTGATGATATAGTCATAACCCAGCCACACAAAACTTCAGAGGCATGAAGACTTGCTCTTAATTAAATTCTAAAAATGAATCATTTTTAATCCTGTTCCATCACACTCGATCGTGTTGGGTATTCTCAGTAAAATAAAAAATTGAAGTCCCAGATAGCATGAGTTTATTCAACATTTCACCAATGTCATAGGGGGAAAATATCCCTAATGTAATTATTTACTGATTATTGTTAATTAGGTTTAGATGTTCTGAATGGTTTAAAATCAGGCATCTGAGAAATGAAGCGCACTAAGCTTTCACATCATATCCATACAGGAAAAACAAATTGAAAACTATGCATTTATTTTCTAGCCAATCAAAAGCAGACATCATCATTCATCTAAATAATTCTGGCCGAAGTGGACCAACCTAAGCAAACTATCCATTTAACTGCATATCACTTCCTTTGTAAACATGAGACAGTATATTAGCTGAGGTCCAAGGATGGGGCATTTTGAAGATAATATGAAAAATCATCAATTCCTGAGCCTCCAACAGGTAACAGGTGACTTCAAGAATTTTAAAAATTCACAAAATATGTTTTCCCTTTTCCAAATACCATCATGATCCCTCATCTATGTTAGTAAAGAAAAAGAGACAGTATTCCCCACTCTTTCATGGATTTTGGATGGCCTGTGGAAAGATTTTGAGACTTTGGGTCTTTGGCTCAATCCTCAAAAAGCAGCTAGGATAGGTCACCATTCCCGTCCAGTTGGCATAGGGCCAGGCTAAAACAATTTCTAACTAACATGCCATCTGCACTGGGATTTCATTGTTTCTTTTGCAGACAGTGGTATGTTGGAGGCACTGGGTTGTGAGATCATTGCTTGCATTCTTCCCACCTTGCTGTTCAGTGATGTCACTTTGGTAGCTTGAAAACAGCCAGGGAGTATTTACATCAGAAAATCCCAAAGTCTACAAATCAGTTGTTTTGTTTTGTTTTTCTTTTAATATTTATTGTTGAAAATATTACATAAACCCCCCTGATTCCCCCCTTGAGTTTTAATATTTATTGTTGAAAATATTACATAAGCCCCCCTGATTCCCCCCTTGACCTCTTCTAGCCCAGCCCCAGGCTTTCATCACCCTACTGTCTGTGTCCATGGGTTATGCATACATGCACACAAGTTCTTTGGTTGATCTCTTTTTATTTTATACCCACCTCACCCTGGCCAATCCTTAAACATTTACCAGCACAACACTGTTGGCAGGCCACTGCATGTGCAAATTTACATCATAATTCCTATACGTTGTTGGGGAAGTCCCTTGTAGGTTCAGATTGTAATGGGAATTACTGAGTTTGGTGCTAGCTACATAACCAACCAGATGAAAACAAAATAGGTTCTTGCGTGCAAAAACTAGCTTAGCACCAGCTGTTCTAACCTAGTTCAAAAGTAAAAGTCCGTAGGCCCATATTTAGTGCACAATTTCACCAAGCAACAAGAAAATTTGGGCCAATTAGAAGCAGAGTTTAAACAAACAGTTTCTGTTCTCCATAGAGGATTTAAAGACACAAGAACGAATTACCTGCTTCAGTAACAACCACATTTTGATGGGTGTCTTCTGGTTGATTTGTAAAGTAAGTCTTCTCTCCAGGAGTTGTTGGCTTGATCTCTTTAGATAATAAGTACAGACATCATATGATCATATGTAGTGATCAACATGAGAAATACAAATAGATGAAAATAAAAGTTTATTATAAAACCATATAAACATCAGTTTTGACTTCTGAACAACTTACAGCTAAGAATTATATTTTGAATTCCAAATTTACTTGAAATTATCTAACTAGAAAGTCAACATTTAATTATCTTTAAATCAAGCATCCGCTTGGTGAATCCTTGCAACCATAACTACATTAGCAATCAATAGCATGTCTACAGACAGTAATATCAAAGCAGGCACGAAGCCAGGCAAAGATAACCAAGAAGCAGTGACCATGAGACTGTGAGCCACTAAGTGCAATTCAACAGCAAGCAAAGATGATCTTGGTACTAATATCAGTGTAATATTCAGGTTCCTCCTCACAATAATAGTCAGCAGGAGATTACATATGGATTGCATTTGGAATTGATTATTCAAATAATGTTCTAAGCACATTTCTATCCTATACAAATAATGCCATTCTTAGATATTATTTCTAATAGTGTCTACCTCTTTTTAAAATATGCTAATAAACTAAGGCTTGTGAGTTATTTCTTTCCCTGGTTCTATGAGATGAGATCTCCTCAATTCCATGCCCTTAAAAGATATTGAAAATCTTACCGCTCTATCACCTAATTTTTTCTAGGTCTTATTTGTTAAGTTAACAGTTCAGTGACTATATTAAATTATTAAGAAAATTCCCTGTAAATTTCTTTTCATTTGTTTCAAAAATATAATTTCCTATTTATTTTTGTCAAGTGATGGAAAGAAAAGCTCATATGCAGCATCTTATATTCATTTCAGAATAGGAAATCATTTCAATGTAATGTTTACTACTCTGATTGACCACATAGTCTCTATTCATTGGGAGTTTAATCATATACCATCCTGTAATAATATTTACTATCCTTATATACATATTTCACCCTGACCCTTTAATAGGCTCCACTAGGTTTCAGATACAGTCCTACCCTAAACTCATTCTTCTGCAGAATTCAATTAGGCACTCTATACCTATCTCAACTGGTATCTGCGGAACAAATAATACAGACATTATGTAATTGCTTAACACAGAACTCATCTTAACACAGAAAATTATTTATTAAATAATTTTAATAAGTTTTAATTTAATGCAGTTGCTGATTAAATAATGACATTTTAGAAACATAATTCCATACATGTTATTTTTAATGTCTAAGAACAAGAGTATATAGTGCAATTTAGTAAATGCAAAAATTAGATTCAGATATATCTCCATAAAAATGCATTTGGGTAACATTGGTAGACCTTTAGAATAGATATGCAGCTCTTTGGGCAATAACAAAAATGATGGCGAAGAGAATAGGCAAACTCAGAAGTAAATTATTCACTTTAAATATGATTAGTCATGCTTAGATGGTATGTTGGAGCAGAAAGAGAAGACTGAGTCCAAATCAAACAGTAGTTCTGGTATAGTTAGAGAAATAATTATAGTTTAAAATAAATTGTGTTATAATTTATAAATTTTAAGTAGGCCCACTGCTTAATCCTCCAAGTCCCTCACCACCAGAAAGCTAACCATAAGTTCACAAAGTATAAATATTTGAAGATTTAGGTAGAATATAGGAGAGAAAGGAAAAAATAATTTTATGTCTACAATGCTCTTCCATGAGTAATATAAACCTAGATTATCTAATACAAAACAAGTCAAGAAGATTCTGATTATAGTGTTCTGAATAATGTAACTATGAAGGCCAAAATAAACAAATAAAATAAAATAAAAAAATACACTTAGGTCAAATTTTTCATCTAAAAGCTCAGAGAAGCCCTGACTGGTTTGGTTCAGTGGATAGAGCGTTGGCCTGTGGGCTGAGGGGTCCCAGGTTTGATTCTGGTCAAGGGCATGTATGTTGGTTGCAGGCACATCCCCAGTGGGAGGTGTGCAGGGGGCAGCTGATCGATGTTTCTCTCTCATCGATTTTTCTAACTCTCTATCCCTATCCCTTCCTCTCTGTAAAAAATCAATAAAAATATATTTAAAAAAATAAAAGGTCAGAGAAGAACACAATATTGTATTAAGAAGATTCTATAATATAATCTGTTTAAGAGTTTTGAGTACATACAGTTGCAAATAGAAACTTCCAGAGAAATTTCAACTTTATATTTTTAAGAAAAGAAAAGAAGATAAAAACCATAAAAGTGTAACAGATTTAGCTTTGTAAAGGCTTCTAAAAGGGTAATGATGAATTTAGCAACCTAGGGGCTGCTAAAGAATAAACTCACCAGGGAAAGAAAGTTGGCTAATACACTCAAGAGCAGGATAAACATGACAGAGGAGTAAATCTAATTCAACTAATCCCTTGTGCTTCATGGTCTTATGAGAAAAAGGAATCATGTAATTTCAAGAGAATAATGGAAATAGCAGCACTTGATTATGATTGCCTCCCATGAGTACATGAGGTCAAGTAGACAGAAGAGTTAAAATGTATTTCCAAACACTGAGGAGACAAATAACGCCAAAAGAAATCCCAAAGCCTAAGTATCTAATTTGACTTTCTTAAATTATTTTTAAAAACAAGTTTATACAGTTTTGATTAATCTCTCTTTTGGTCAAATATCAATTCAGTTGAGCTGTCTTATTCAAAGTAATTCAAATTACTATTTCCATAGAAAACTACACTGCGGTAGCTTAGGTCAATGTAATCTTCTCATTAGCTGCATAGGGCAACGAATTAGAGACTTGAAGCAAAAGCTGATTAAGGAGGCATATTTCAAAGAATGAGGATCACAGCAAGAACATGGCACACGTCCCTACTCTTTTTCATGATTGTTGGTTCAATGAGCTATGACCAGTTTGATATTCACTGAAGAATATGTGCCAAGAATCATGCCATGAAATCATAAGGTAATGTTCCTTTGATCCCTCAAATTCCCCAGATGATCACCCAACGAACTGTTGCTCAGATGTGTAAATCTATAGGTGCTTTGGTGACATCTCCTTCACACACACCATACTAAATATTTAAAACTAGAGGCCCAGTGCATGAATTTGTGCACGGATGGGGTCCCTTGGCCTGGCTGGTGATCAGGACCCATCCAGGCTGCGGGAGGTTGGCCAGCCGGGGGGAGAGGCCGTGGGAGGTTAGCTGGCCAGAGGAAGGGGTTGCGGGAGGTTGGCTGGCCGCGGAGGTTGGCTATAGGAGTGCTCTAACCATCAGGAGACAGCTCTTGCATTGCGTATCTGTCCCCTGATGGTCAGTGCATGTCATAGTGACCAGGCGTTCAGTTGTTTGGTAATTTCATCGCTTAGGCTTTTATATAGAGAGATATTTTAAAATAGATGTTTACTTTTCATTAAATCAATTTACAAAAACACAATTTGACTTTAATATTGGAAATGATTATTTCCTCTAAAGACACCTTCCCAGATGTTCCTAGGTACTCCCTAGTTCTATTTCTAGTGACGCTGGTTTCTATAGTTTCTAGGTACTCTGGTCCTAACCCTGTGGCAGCTTGTCCTGTGGCCCACAGTGTGCTTCAGTACACTGCATGCCAGGGCAAGCTGCAGAGTACAGTGATGTTTCACAGCAGAAAAACCAAAAGAGCCAAAGGTAGCACAGCTTACAGATAAGACAATACCAGCAGACAGGCACACCATCTGTTCATGTCAGTTTACAATACATCCTACCTGGTTCATACTTGCAGATGTAATTGTGCTTCATGTTGCACCTGTCGTCATTCCACTGGTAAAGGTAGGGGCCTCCAAGGCCAGGATTGGCCGTAGGTTGATGATACATCACAACGCACTTTTCACTTCCACAGGAAGGTTCATCCGCATACCAGTTTCTGGAAATAAAGGGTGCAGCAAAAGTAGGATTACAATTGTTTGTGCAGAAAAATAATGCAGTAACTAATTAATAACAATGCATTAATTAATAAATAATAATAATACAATGATTAATACTAATACAATGACTAATAAAACAACACAATGATTAATAAATAGTAACACCAGAACTGTGTTCCACATACTGAAAACCTACTCTTGTCCTACTCTGTATAGAGCAACAGGAACACTTCTAAGTGACGTCACCTGTTCTATTCTGACATCCGACCTACAGGGGAGAGAAAGCTCCCTCAGGAGCCGACTCACCGGTACTGGGAGCTGCTGCCATCGGACCAGCGGTAGAGGTCTGGGCAGGCACCAGACGCTTGCCCCTCCCCACTCCTCCAGAGGCCTATCCAGAAATCGCCATCAGAAATCCCCGTGCCTGGTTTTGTCAGGTTTTGCAACATGCTTTCTATCAACTTCTGTTCTGCTGCGTGCTCCAGGCTGAGCAGGGCGCCCCCCTCACTCTCACAAGCCAGGCGCGCCTCCTGGAAGCTCACTCGGCTGGACAGTTCCTGGAAATAGGCCAGTTTGTAGCAGGGGTGCTGGTAGTCAGCAAAACACACCTTTTGGCCTGAAAAGCAAGCAAGCAAACAAACAAACGAACGAACATCAGATGACTTAAACACATAGGCAACAAAACAAAAAAGTTTGATTTAAAAAACACTCTCAAAATTGAATTTCACATACACCTACATAGTAAGCAGAATGAATTTTCCTGGTGTCATAACTGAATAGGCATGATCATATCGGGTCATAACGAAGCCATGGTATGGGACTTAGTTAACTCTACTACAATGGAATATTTTACTTACACCCTCCCCCATTTTACCCCCAAACATGTAAGTCAAGATTATACAAACTCTCTCCAATGGTCCAGCTGTTTTGTTTCTCATTATCTTCTTTGGTTCACCTCTCACCTCTGGTTGTCAACTTCACAAACTGCCAGGAGCCCCTCTCTGTCCCTGTTCCTTATCTCCAACCTGCTGCCCGTGACCTACTTAGTCTTTGTCTGATTTCAGCTTAGGTTTAGCCTTGGCAAACAGACTATCATACTATTTTATGTAAAATTGAGTTAAATGACTTTATGCTAAGAAATTAAGCACAAAGTTTTACTGCTTTCTTATGGTTCATCTGCATGAACATTATTTCTCTTGAGATTGAAGGCTTTTTTCACTGTGTATTTATTTTTGTAGCTGAGCCAAAAACGTTGCCAGTTATGGTGGCTGGAGGTGTTATTGTACTTAAACACTAGGGATCAAAATAAACATCCCAGATTTACACTCTTAATTACAGTGCATCACACCGAGCCAGTGCTGGTAGCACAGCCCTTCTCCCCGAGGAAGCAACTGATCACCTCTGATGACACGCACAGGCAGGAGGGAGCGGAAATCAGCACAAGGCCATTCACCTCACAACAGTGTTTGAGTGACAGGCACCCAGTAACTTGACACAAGCAGAGAACAGCCAATTAATAAAATGGCAGCCAGTTGTCCTCTGTCTCATTAACCCCGATCTGGACCCAGGAGCAACACGTTGAATCATATGAACAAATTAGCAGACTGCCCCAACTAATTGTTAATGAGAAATAGCAGGCAGGGATGAATGCCCTCGGGAAACTGGAATTAAAGAGACTTCAAATGGACAAATCCGTCAGAAACATTCCTTGAGAGATGATTATGGAAGTCCCAATGATTGATTCTAGCACAATTGTTATTTAAAAAAATTTTCTCCTAGTCTATTATTAGGTTTTGAGATGACTTCATTATTAAAAAGTGTTTCTGGTAATATTTTAACAATGCCATTAAACCTCGTGGTTTTATGCCTATATTTTTACTTCTGGTAATATGCCAACAGTGCCATGAAGCCTAGTGATTTTCATGTCTATATTTTTAAATCAAGCTCTGGTTCCATTTTCATCTCCTGCATCCTTTACATACTTCTAAGTTTCAAAATATCTCTCAACTGCATTCCCTTGAGGTTTCAATTTGTTTAGTTTTTCATTCTGAGAAATCTCAGTCTTGGATTTGATTCCAGTACTTTTAAAATATTAACCTTGTCCAACAAGATTGTTTTGCAAGATGTCAAAACGCCAAATTAAAAAAAAATTGATTAGCCAGAAGTTTTAATGAGTAAAAGTTATTTATATAACAAATATATACACATTCAGAGGATTCATATGTATGATTTGTATGCCAAAAGTCTCTGCTCATTATCTTCCCTATATTAAAAATATATGCAGCACATATTTATTATTTATGATGAGGGTACAAAAATGATGAGACTAAACTTATTTATAAAATGAAGATAGCGCTTCTAATTAAATGCATGACAGCTTTTGGTGTCATGAGAAAATTCCTAATGCCACTATTAGCTATTAGCCAAGTATAAATGTCAGTCTGTAGAGAAATAATAATAAGAGAAAAATCCATAGGCAGGGGTTATATTTAAAATAATTAACAACTAATACTGCCTGGGCCCTGGATGATAGCCAATCTGAGGCTCGCTGTGGCTGTGGCTATGGCTGATGGTCCAGGAGTCCTGGGCCGGGGGTGGAGACTGTGTGGCTGCATTGCAGGGGATCTCCCTGAGAATCGGGACAGTGGCCAATTACCAACTACAGATAGACATTGACTCCAAAGTGTATTGATTGAATATCAACTGTGTCCACGGACTTTGAGCTAAAAAGTCACTAGCAGTTCAGATCTAGCATGGCAGTTTCCAGGAAATTATGGAAACATTGCAGTTTTTTAATGCTATGCATAGATCATAGTCAGTTAAAGCTGACGCTGTGAATTTCTTTACATCCAATTGTACTTCACTACTGATTTCCACCTTCTCAAGCAAACTTGGTCCATGTTGCAGCAAAAGAAGTAGCTATTGAACTGCTCACTGTCATTTCAGCTGACCATTGCGCTGTAATCGCAGTGGAACTCCAACAGCTGGGAAACAGATGTTGCCCTGATTCCCAGAAAAGTCCCATTAATACGGATCTGCTGGAAGCAACTTTTCCCACTTCTGTAAAGGCTAATATTCCTGGAGAACCATTATGGTTCCCTCCCTTCTCATTCTGTGAGATCACAGAGAGAAGTTCCTTTTCTCGTACTTCTAAACGTTATATTCAGATAAAATCTTCCACCCACCACTTTGAAATACAGGAGTTCTAATCTTCCATCTATTCCATCTTCTTCATCTAACCTTCTATCGACTAGTCTACTACCCATAACAAATTCAGGTAAATATTCAGATAACAGTGTAACAGCTTTTGCTACATAAAGGCTAACTTGATACTATCTAACAATAATTTACTAAATGTTACTTAGCATCTGTCGTGAGAAATATCCTTTGCTTGATGGCTTATTTACAAGAGGGAGAAAAGATCTTCTACCTAGGAGTCTACACCTATTGGTTTCACACACACACATACCTACATATGTACCCAGGAACTTTTATTTAGAGATCATTCCCAGTATTGCCTATTAAAATAAACATTCCTATCAATATCAGAGCCAAGACTACGCTACTACTTCCATGAATATATGACTGTCTTTTTTTCTTAGTCATTAAAATTCCTTTAGAGCTAAATATTGGCAGAGTTTTCAATACTTTTGGCAATAATGTAAAAGTGGGGCCAAACTCATAAATGCATTGCACTTTACTTTTTTCTTCCTGAATAGAAAGGGATCTTGGTGTTATTTTGCTTAAATGTATTAACTTTCTGACAGGTGAGTCGTCAGTGTGCTAGGAAAGTAATAACATTTTCCTTAGACCTCATACTATAATCATATATTATTGATATTAACTCAACATTGAATTAATATCCCATTATTCAGTAAAATGTACAAGACATTTTATGAATTCCTATTGTTCAGTTATGGCCTACCTTAGGTGGCCCAGAAAAAGCTGTACAAAAGAGGATTTACATGATAAACCCAAACCAGAGACTGACTGGATTTCAAGCATTTTATCAGAATTGCACGAAAGAATTTGTTTTTCGTCATTCTTTCTTACTCCCCTCAAAATCACACTAAGTATGCTGATACTACAATATACAGTGTCACGTGACCTCTGATGGCGATGCTGACACTTTCGAACTAGAAAGAAAGGGAAAGCTATGGATTCCATGTTCTGCTTTCAGGGTTCAATATTACACCAAATTCTTAAGAATTTTCCTGATAAAAATGTTTTGTAATAATAAACTTCATTTTTGCAGCAGAGATTGTATGATGCAATGAGCTGCATAGTGCACTATTAAGATGTGCTGGAATCCATTTCCTACATTGGTAAACAAAACAAAATGGCAGTCTTGGGTCATTTGTTGAATAGTGGTGCAGCTGCAAGCCCTACCTCTCCAGCTAGGAAATACCACATGCTTCCTGACAAGGAAATGAGATTCCTTTTTTAATTAAAAAATTCTAATATTTAAAATCAAGATCTAAATAACAAATGGTAAACCATTTGTGTGACTTAAGGTTTCAAGCATTCAATCAATCAGAACTGGCTTGGAGTCCCAGAGTTCTACTTGGACTTTGGGGACATTGAGGACATTAATGTTTTCTTTCCTAAAAAGTGGGAGTGGCCCTGGCTGGTTTGGTTCAGTGGATAGAGTGTCGTCCTGCATACTGAAGGGTCCTGGGTTCGATTCCAGCCAAGGGCACATGCCTGGGTTGCGTGCTTGATCCCCAGCAGGGGGCAGCTGATCAATGGTACTCTCTCATCCTTGATGTTTCTATCTCTCTCTCCCTCTCCCTTCCTCTCTGAAATCAATAAAAATATATATTTATTTTTAAAAAGTGAGAGTGGTTATGACTTTTAAAGAAATAAGAATCATAATAGTAGCCTGACATTTATCAAGAGTTTAATATGCAGGGCCTCAAAGTTAGCACAACCCATGCCTTTGGGTAAAGTAGGAAAATATCTCTCCTGGTGATATAGGCTGTTAAGCTAGAAAAAAATAATAATAATGTGTTTTCCGTAGGTGGCCTCAGCTCCAGGCACAGGGCTGGCCACGTGGGGTCCATCTCACAGCTCCTTGAAAGTCAAGCAATTTTCCCAAATTCACACAGCTCACAAGTGATGAACTCAGGGCGGCGAACCAGGGAGCCAGGCTCCACAGTTCATCCATTTACCCCAGAGGTGCTCCAAATAGAACTTTTTTCCTAAGGTGAAAGATTTCATAGATAAAGGGACTGATGAATATATTCATTATTTGTGTTTCCCATGTTATAATTATTAGTATTGCTCCATATTGATTACTGGATATATGCAAGGGGTTGTGCCTTGAGAGTTTGTTTCTAAGCAGATTGTGGGTTTTCTCTTACTGAACATTTAGCCACACGATTGATATTGGAACATCGATCTAGTATTTTCAGACCATATATGTCTTTAATGATTGTTTTATTGAGCCTCCTTTTCCCCCCAAATAAAACAAGCAAGACCCAAGCTGACCCCCTGCCCCCAATTATAAGGGGGATAAGTAGAATCAAGTTGTCAGGCCATGTTATATCACCCCTAATGTGTGAAAGAAACAGTCTCTCCTGGCAGTGCATGCATCCAGCCACCTAGCACAGAACACTGTTACAAAAAGTAAAAATGGTTGGTGAGGACATTAGCTGGATTTCCGCTTATACCCCTTTATTAAACAACAGTGCCTCTTCTCTTGTGTTAATGGAATAGATATTGCCATCTCCAGGAAAAAGTGTTCTAAAAACAAAGCCATAAAATGCTGAAGAACAGCAGTTAGGGATTAATGGCTATGATGAATGTGCAGTTTATTAAATGACTAGCAATAAGATTAATTTGTTCCTTTCTTGCCCAAGAGATGCTTAAAGTAATTGCATCTTTGAAAACTGCACCGTCATCACTTTATGCTTTTGATGATGTCATGGAATACTACCAGAGGCTGGGATAACAGTACTTTGTATTTCCTTTGCTGTTATGTTAATCTGTTGGCTACGGATCATCAGCATGATTTTGCAGTATTCCGTGGTTTCTGTGTGATAAAAAGAGAGGTCTCTAAACCATCCAATCTTCTGAATAAAACATTTGCCAATTTTCATAAGTTCCAACTAATACATATTAAAATGTCCTGCAGAAATTTAGAGGCACCGGGAAACATACTCAATGCCATTTTGCAGCACAAACAGGTTGGGGATCACTGCTGTGTGCACAAAAAAAAAAAAAAAGAAAGGAAAAAAAAGAGGGAGAGAGTAAAAGAAAAAAAAGAAATGATACTTCAAAACACTTCATATGTTTAAAAATACCCACATGCTCTTCAAATACATCTTCCCATCTTTGAAACTGGAATTTTGAACTCTTCTTTTTCATATGTATCTCTCCATAAGTAAACTCCTCTTACCTTTGTCCTAAGGATTCCATTACCTACCAGTCACTTGAAAAAATTAAATGGCTGCAGCCCCCGGAGGTACTCTCTACACGTCTGTGTTTAGCAACAAGCCGGTACAGGTCTAGGACCCTAAAAATAGTTCCCAACTTAGAGCCATACATTCACTACGTACTATCTGATTGTTATCCTCATGATTGGATATTTGTATTGCATATCCATGCATCAAAATAAGCATGGCCTCTGACCTGTAAAAATACTTTTCTACTACTGCTAGATACTATCTATGAACTCTTATAGGTAAGATTATGATGATGAAGTTGTTTGAAATGCTTTTAAAAATATTTTCACTTCCTTTATAAATAATGCTCTCAACTTTTAAAAGGATGATGTATTTTAAAGTACTGGAAAGTATCTTATAATGGAATATTTTAAAGTGCTAAAATGAGAATTTCTATGCAGGATTATTTTATGAGTTTCTGTCATTTTTCTGGGGGTGATTATGGAGGTATACTACATGGACATTATAAATAGCTGTATTGATATTTAATAAATAGAAAATGTATTTAATATATTGTAAGTATATTCCTACTGATGGTCCCAAGGAACTTGCTGCAGTCAACAGACACTTGAGGATTTTGGTAGATGGTCCCTAGTGGCATGAAAAAGTTGATGCACCGCTCAAAACTCAACGCTGACCAGGCAGACATTAGACCTACTACTTCCAAAATGTCCAGATTTAAACTATTCTGTCTTCATGCCATTTTGTCTGAAATATATATATTTTTAAAAGATAGTCTTCAAAGCATAAAATTGCAAATCAATTTATAATGCTTAAATGTCAATGTGAACTTGTATGGCCAAAGACAATTCAATTACTCATAAGAAAAACTTAATTGTTTTAATACCAAGCAAACATCATCATTTATACTAAATCAAATAGATCATGTTCAGTTAATTAGAAATTTTCCAGATGTCACCTGCAAGATGCCTATAAGTAACAGAAAAACACAGCACAGGTTTACAACAATTTATGCAATAACAATGCAGAATAAATTTTCACTAACAATTTTCAAGCTCTAATTTTAATCATATATCTTTTTTCCCTCCTAAACGAGAATACACCAAAAATATTTTATTTAATTCAAAGAAGAAGTGTTTCTATGTGTTTACAAAACACCTTATGCTCAATGCCTGGTCTTCGCTGTTCATTCATTTGCAAGCATAATTCTGATAAATAGGAAGGCAGTTAGATATGTGTAATTCAGATGAGTCCAAATAGTAAACTTTTTCCTCAAAGTTAAATTAGGAGGGAATGAGCCAATGGAATGAATGGCTTCTATAACATCCTTTTTGATACTGTAGCGTTTTCCTTTTAAAAATGTTGAGCCAGATTTTCTTCCAAAAAAAAAAAAAGAAAAGAAAAGCAAGCAGCTATAGCATTTCCAAGTGACACTTCACAATGTATTTAATTCCAGTGTCTCCAGGTGCCAAAAAGGTAGTCGAGAGTGAAAGACAACCAGACACTCAAGAATTGTATCCTGAAGATGTAGGACATCACATATCGCTGAGGGCAAGATCAGTAACAATTAAGCTTAAGATGCCAGTTTCTAAAGGTCTGGCTTCGCTGCTGATGAAGTTGCCGTCATCTGTCATCTCTCTCTACCTCCATGGCACCTGTTCTAAATGCGCAGACTGTGAAAAGGAATCTGTGCTTTTCACATGAAAAAAAAAAACAACACCTCCCAGCACTTAAAACACATGCCCACACACAGTCAACAAACATTCCTTGCCACCCTTTCATTGGCACCACAGGAGACTTCAGTCAAAGGAGTGTCTGTGCTCCATTTTCAGGACGGCCCTGGTCACACTTCTGAGAAGCTTCCCGTGGTTTTTCTGTGTGTTTTTTGAGAGACCTTCCCCCAAAGTAAGAGAGTGAATCAAATGTGCACGGCTCAACAATAGGCGCGTGAAAGCCCAAGGGAAAGAACCATCAGAGCGAACGCTGGAGGCTGGCCAGAGCTGATGCATTGCCCTTGCAGGGACTCCGCCGACATAATTGGGCACCTACTGGGAGCATGAACCTGCAGCCAGTCGTCGCCATGCATATACCTCAGCCCAACTCGACCCGACTTCCTGTTCTGACAGGTCCCCAACTTGGGACGAGGAGCGCGAAGGCAGGGCAGCAATGCACCATGACCACCCCCTTCCTCCCCACCCCACCCCGGTTCTTTGTCAGCCTCCTGAGAACAAAGGCTGCGTGCCCAGGGGTCCCCGGGGGCCTCACGGCGCGCAGACCTGTCCCAGACCCCCCAGAGGACAAGGGGTGGGGACTGCAGCGGAGCCAGGCCCGCAGGGGGAGGCATCCCCGCGGCGGCTCTCGTCCCCGGGCCCCGCGGGACCCCACCCCTGCCGCGGGGGCCCAGCCCTGCCCTGCCACCAACTCTCTTCCAAAGAAAGTGGAAAGAAACGACTCCCGGGGAAAGCCGCGCTGCTCGCCAGGAAGCCCGGCTCCTTTCGCAGCCATGGAGCCCAGCACTTGGGACATTTTTAAAACTCACCGCTGACCACCCGGCGACAGAAGGCTCCGTGGCCGCACAGCAGAGCGGCGCCCAGCAGCAGCGAGACCACGCGGCTCATCGCGGCCCGGCGGCGGCGGCAGCAGGTGTTGCACTGAGCGAAGTTGAGGGGCAGAGGAGAGCGCACAGCACAACCCAGCTGCCCACGCCTCCTCCCGGCCCCCAACCCCCGCACAGCTTTCCACCCCCCGGGAGACAGACCCTGGACGGA